AGTCCGCAATATTTTGTTGTTGTTTTTGCTATTGTTGTTCATCTTGCTGTTGTCGACTTCAACCTACTGCTACAACTGTAACACCAACTGCCACAAATAAATGGAATATAACAAGTAAACATATTAGCCTGCAGCATCCAACCAAGTATGGGTAACGTACTCCTTACATAACCGGGTACATAGGCATACACTTAAAAGTATTACTGTTTCAGTTTGGAAAAAGGCTTTAATGTGAGAAGATTAAAATAAAACTCGTAAAAAACTACCGGCCAAAAAATAATAGCGAAGAACTTATAGCTTACAAACATTCATTTAATGCTCGCTCTCCAGTATGCTGAGTATTATAAAAATGTTGGGGCTGTTCTTTTTTTTCATTTCGTTCCATTTAAGATTGCTAGCTTAAAATCCTTTATAAAGGTGGCATATTCATATGTATGTTTATTTGCACAAAATGTAATTATATTTTTTATGCATACGTGCATATAAAACTGTTATTAAATTCTTAAATAGTACTTCACATACAATCTAAGTGTTGTAGCAATAAAAACAGAACTATTACTATATTAGCGACAATTTTGTTTAATCCGAAGGTCGTGTTAGTGTAAATATGAGAAATATAATAATAATATTTGCAACATATGAAGCAAATATTATGTACCAAAAATAAATCAATTTATATTTCCCATTTGAAATTGTATACCTACAAAAACATTTAAAAAACAAGAAAGAATTTATAGTCGGACATGACTGAGCATATGATACCCTACACCAGTGATTATGTTATACATTATTATTATTTTTTTAATAATAAAGTATTTAATTTAATTTTTTACCTTAATTCAGAAATATTTTAGCAATTTGTTGACAAAAAGGTATTTTCTAAAAGAAGGGTTATATGTGGACAGAGGGTTAATATGGTCCTATCCTTATTAATTTTGGTATAGGGATATACGTCTACATCAGTTATTTATAAAAACAGAACTATTACTATATTAGCGACAATTTTGTTTAATCCGAAGGTCGTGTTAGTGTAAATATGAGAAATATAATAATAATATTTGCAACATATGAAGCAAATATTATGTACCAAAAATAAATCAATTTATATTTCCCATTTGAAATTGTATACCTACAAAAACATTTAAAAAACAAGAAAGAATTTATAGTCGGACATGACTGAGCATATGATACCCTACACCAGTGATTATGTTATACATTATTATTATTTTTTTAATAATAAAGTATTTAATTTAATTTTTTACCTTAATTCAGAAATATTTTAGCAATTTGTTGACAAAAAGGTATTTTCTAAAAGAAGGGTTATATGTGGACAGAGGGTTAATATGGTCCTATCCTTATTAATTTTGGTATAGGGATATACGTCTACATCAGTTATTTATGCAGAATATCATCGTGATATTAATGTTTATTAGTGAATATTGACCATTTTCTGAAGGGGACTTTGTATGGGAGATAGATTCAAATGAGGCCCCATCATTACGAAAGTCAGCGGTATCATTAAGACTTTTATAAAACTAAGTTTTGCCGATTTTTGAAGTGCGACCACTAGAATGCGTACTATGTTTACATGGACAGACGGATGGACGGACAGACAGACAAACAGATAGACAGGCAGACAGACGGATGGATGGACATACAGACAGATAGACATAGCTATATTGACTCAGAAATTGATTATAAGCCGACTATATTTTTGGGTGTTACAAACATCAGCACAAACGCATAATAATGTTGATATCAAAACTGTTACAACTCATAATAAACGAGATATATGTAAAAGACATAATTTTGTGACCTTTGACCGCCAATATCTACTACACGATAAATTTTTCACTGAATAATAAAAATATGAGAAATTCTAAAGTCTTTTTGTTTAATCTATTATCAAGAACATCTTTTATTTTCGATGTGAAAGAGTCTGGCATAAACTTTCAAAGGCGTTTTGCTTGAAAGTTTATATTTATACCCTACACCACTATAGTGGGGAGGGTATTATGCGTTTGTGCTGATGTTTGTAACACCCAAAAATATTGGTCCTACACCCACCTTAAAGTATACCAATCGACTCAGAATCACTTCCTGAGTCGATTAAGCTATGTCCGTCTGTCCGTCCGTCCGTCCGTCCGTCTGTCTGTCTGTCTGTCTGTGTGTCCATGTAAACCTTGTGCGCACTCTACAGGTCGCAATTTTTGAGATAATTTGATGAAATTTGGAACATGCACTTCTCTTGGTAAAAGGACGAACGCTATTGAAAATGGTTGAAATCGGTCCATTATTTCACCTAGCCCCCATACAACCGGACCCCCCGAATAGGGCTTTTGACCTCATAATTATGTTAAATGATCTGCTATCTCTACAAAAATTGGAAAAGTTTAGTTTTATATATGTCTTAATAATTCTAGTGATTTTCGTAAAGATCGGGCATTATTTGACCCTAGCCCCCATACAAAGTCCCCCTCAGAAAATGACTTGAATGTCCACAATTCACTTATAAACAGTAGTATCACGATGAAATTTGGCACAAATGAGTTTTATATAAACATAATTCCCAACAATAAATTTTATAGGGATCGGACCAAGTTTTACTCTAGCCCCCATATAAGCGGACCTTCCGATTTGGGCCTTTTAGCTCATAGCTTTGTCAAATATACTACTATCTCTCCAAAAATCGGCACAACTAAGTTGGATATAATTATAAATAACACTGTCGATTTTTATAATGATCGGGCATTATTTGACCCTATCCCCTATACAAAATCCCCTTCAGAAAATGACTTGAATGTCCACAATTCACTTATAAACACTAGTATCAATATGAAATTTACCACAAATAGATTTTATATAAACATTTTATATAAAATGTCGACATTAAATTTTATTAGGATCGGACCAATTTTTGCCCTAGCCCCCATACAACCGGACCTACCGATTAGGGCCTCTTAGCTCATGACTACGATAAATATACTACTATCTTCCCAAAAATTGGCACAACTAAGTTTGATATGTAATTATAAATAACACTGTCATTTTTCGCCATGATCGGAAATAAAAAGTAGCCTATTGCCAGACATACGAATGTGCTGTGAAAATTTGAAGAAAATCGGTTTAGCCGTTTAGTAGTATATAACGTTCAAACATACAAACATATAAACACACAAACATATAAACATACAAACAAACACACATTCATTTTTATATATGTATATAGATAATTCCCAATAATACATTTTATAAGGATCGGCTCAATTTCTGCCTTAGCCTCCATACATCTGGACCTTCCGATTTCGGTCGTTTATCTTTTAACTACGTCTAATATACTACTATCTATCCAAAAGTCGGCACAATGTGTTGATGTTTGTAGCACTCAAAAATATTTGTCCTTATTAAGCTATGTCCGTCTTTGTGACCGTGTAAAACTTGTGTGCACGCAACAGATCGCAATTTTGAATATAATTTGTTAAAATGTGTCACATACTATTCTCTTGATCCACTGACGATGGCTGTTGAAAATGATTAAAATCGGTCTTCTATTTTTCCTACACAGAAAAAAGTTCCAGCATAAATATTATGAACTGCTTTCATTGACTAAAGTTAATAATATTTAAGAATAAGTTCCTAAATTGTATGAATTTTTTCATTTTTATATTTTTAAACATAATCTAGAAGCCTTGACTTAAAATATTACAAATTTTCTTTATATTTTTCTATTTGTTAAAAAATGTTTGAAATTTTCTTTGGAAAATTTTTTATTTCTTTATGATTTTTAGATTGAAAACAATGAAATATGCGCGTAACATGCAGCATTTTCTGAAGAATGGATGTTTAGCTATATGCTGATGTTTTTTTATTTCATATTTTGTTTTCCAACATTTTATTTATTTATCATAAAAATTCGCTAATATGTGATTATTTTCTAAAAAATGGAAGATATTAATAGGTAACGCGGATATTTATTCCAATTTTTTATGAAAATCAAAAAAATGAGCAAAAAAACAAAAAAAATCTTTAATGTACAAATTCATACATTTTATGAACTTTTAATATTCTGAATGAAAATGGTTTGGGAAAAAAAAGTCATGTTCGATTCATTCAATTTATTACAAAATTCATTCAAGTTATGTATTAATTTTTTCTGTGTAGTCAGCATACAACCGAACATGAACAGACATTATTTGGAACCTATATAAGATTAACAGAAATGCGTAATTATTAAAATTAATCACATTTAATATTCGCAATTGGTGTAGGGTATCATATGGTCGGCCACGCCCGACTATAATTTCTTACTTGTTTATATTGTGTCAGTTTTGTAGTAAATGAACGATATGTACTCATATAGTCCAAAAAACTTTAATATCTCAATTACATTCTCGTTAATAATAATAATGTTTTTTTTCTTTCCCCTAAACTTAAAGTTCCATGAACATTTTAACATCAATCTATACAAACTAATTAAACTTGATGAATACAATTAAAAACATGCTTTCCAATCTCAACACGGCTAATAACGATTTAGATGGTGACGTCTGTTAAGAAAACAAGTATAAACACACACACACACACACACTCAAAAAAACAACGAAATAAAAAAGTAACGAAATGTGATATTTTAATTTCTAGAAAACACGCATGTAAATTAAATACTTTCAGACCTAAGGGATATAAATAAATAAAAAGAAACCCAAACAATTGAAAAAAAAAACTAAAACAGTTTGCCAACAATTTATATAACTTCCCCAAAACAGGAAAATTCTATGGTACACCCAATTAAAAGTCAAACAAGTAACGGGCAAATGTATTATACACGCAATTTTTTTTTTTTTTTTTTTTTTTTGAAAAAATAAATTATGTCATTTAGTTTAATGCATTGATGTTAACACTTTTTAATTAACTGATTTTTGTGTAGTTTTTCTATTTTACTTAAATATTATTCACATTTTATTTAATGTGCATTTTATTTGTATTTTATTTATTTTTAGTACCACCCGAAAGACCTATAATTTATAAGCCAAATCGTCATGAAAAAACCAGCAATGTGGAATCATTTAATGAGGGTACCGACATCGTTTTAATATGTGAGGTTTCAGGCGGTAAGTTGATAAATATTGATGACATTAAAAATACATACATACTATATTTGATCTAAACTAATTTTTATTTGCACATATGTATATATACCCTTCATCTTCTTGGTAAAAGTATGTATAAGTTTGTCATTCCGTTTGTAATTTATATCTTAGTCCTTATAGATGGCGAAGTAGTTTAAGTTTTATACATAAGTCCGTTTGTCTGTGTGTTTGTTAAAATTTATTTTCTAAAGACATCAGTAATCAAAAATAACAACAACATATAGCTTTATTGTTATACGTTTATGAACTATAATGAAGGGTATATTAAGCTTCTGCACAGCCGATTTTAGTACTCCTACTTATTTTTAGAAAATGTTTATAACTACAATTTCATTTTATAGATTTCTGTTTGTATGCCTTATTTTAATTAACAATTTATTTAAATTTAAATGTTATTTTGTGGCTTATAAATTGAATGCCATATTTAAATGCAATTTTAATTGTAAGTTTTAATTTACCAGAAATATTACCACAATATTGGTTTATTTTATATATAGTTATGTATATGTAGTTTATACTCAATATATCGAAATACTTATGTATGTATATCCGAACAGTTTGTTTAAATCCATTTGATTTTGTTTATCTATGTGATAAACTAAATACACATAGAATTTTTCTATATATATTTTTTTGTCCAGTTAGATAAAAAGCAAAAATACAAACTAAAATTTAATTAAAATTGTGCCAATGAAACATGGAAAAAATTGCTAAATAATACTCGTAATAAAAACAAAGTAATACGTTTATACAATATATTTTTTATGAAAATTCAATTTTGATTGTAGATTTTTAATTGAAACATAACAAATTTTATTCACTAGCAAGGGAGGGGTGAATGGGCATTAGGATCCATATAATATTTAGAATTTTGAACATTTATTTGTTTTGTTTTTTTGGATTTTTTAAACTACTAAGAAATGAACTGCAAAATCATGTAGTTTATATGCATAGAAATCATTGTATACATATACAATCTTGAAGGAAAAAATAAACGTATGTTGGTTTTATCTAAGATTATTTTATTAGTATTTAATTTGTTTTTAGTAAAAGTAATAGTTCAATGAAATAAAAGTATTTGGTAAAAAAAACTATTGATTATTACTAAATAAGATCAAAGTTATAGGATTTTGAAAATAATAAATTTTTTTGGACATTTTGGACATACAGGGTTTTATTCAAATGGCTGCTACTTTTCACCTATTGGTCCTAGCAAAAATTGTCAAAAGGAGTTCAGAAAGCTTTTTATTCATTTATTTCAATTTTATTTTTTAATTTAAATAAATATAATATTTAAACTCAAAAACTTTGCTTTTGGAGTTAAATTTTTTTTAAATATATATCCCACTCGCATTACACTAAGTAATCACAAAGCTCTTAAAGGCAATGGTCTAAGCTCGCTTTTGAGCAAAAAAAGATACAACAAACGTCAATTTTGAAAAATAGGGGAAAATTTAGTGCCAAAAATTAAAAAAAAAATATTTTTGAGTTAAAAAATAATGTTTTTGATAGATATGCCACTCGCATCCCATTATAGGACATTAAAGCCCTTAAAGGAAATTGTATAGAAAAAAAATGGAAAGAATGAAGAAGTAGTTATCTGAACTCCTTTGGACAATTTTTGCTAGGAACATTAGGTGAAAAATTACACTCATTTGAATAAAACCCTGTATGGCCAAAATGTCCAACTTTGACCCCCTCTAAGTCCGGCAGTTCTTAACCAATAGAGCTGAAAATTTGTGTCTGACTATCCAATAGTACTAACGTTTGTGCAAATTTCGTCAAAATCGATGTTTTGAGTTGAGTCACTTGACACGAAATTCCCCATATAGTGCATTAGTGTGGCCCCAAAATAGAATTTTCTTATGTTCTAACTGAAAGTTCATTCTAGGATATCATAACCTGGCGTTTATATTTGGTAACATATATCAAATGATAAAAAAGTTATTTTTGAGGTTTTCATGATTTTTTATACCCACCATAAATAAGTTTTATATGAGCCAGAAGCTCTCTACTAAATTTTATGAATATCGGTCCATAATTGACTAGGGTCAATATAAAGTTCCCTTCAGAAAATGACGTTAACGCCCATTACTGGCTTAAAAATACGAGTTTTACAATGAAATTGGGCATAAGTAAGTTTCCTACGAGCCAAAAGCTATATACCAATTTTTATGAGGATCGGTCCATAATTGACCCTACCCTCATATAAGGTTCCCTTCAGAAAAGTTTGTTACATAGAAAATGATTTTTCTATGTATGGAGGAAGCATTACTGGCTTAAAAAGTTGAGTATGGCGATAAAACTCAACACAAATAAATTTGAAAGAGTCAAAATCAGTCTACCAAATTTTATGAGGATCGGTCGATAATTGACTCTCTATATAAAATGCCCCCTGCAGAGAACAGATGAAATTCGAAACTAATAAGAACATATACATAAAATATATATATTTTTTTTGATTGGTCCCCAGTTCCCTACCAGCGATTGAAAATTCTGACCCTAGTATAATTTTTAAAAATAATATATCTTCGATTTTTTTTGACATGGGTCTCAAAAATTCTGTAATTTTTTAACTGATTGCGGGAAAAATAATCTTAACATTTTTGTAGAGTATTTTTGGTCCATTCTAAATATCACCCTGAGGTTTATAGGAGAACATTCCTTTTAACTCATACGGTATATAATACTCTTACTGGTTTCATATTAAACATAAATTTTAGTTGGGATTGATATTGGTCTCTACTTCCTCTCAAGTATAGAGCTATTTGAGCTCTACATAAAAATATGAAACGATTCCTAAGATATAGATTAATGGAGCATGACGTGATGTGAGAAAAGTAAATCGAAATGTTCCTGTATCAAAAATATCGGCTAATTATGGGACTATCTTCCAAAAAAAAAAAAAGGATTCTCACCAAAGACATTAGGAAATCACACTGTTTTAAGTCTAAAGTATATTTAAGACGATTTAAGTCGAGAACTTTGACAGTAATAAAACAAAAAATATTTATTTATTGACTGGGTGATCCTGTAGGCGTGTTGGTAGTGCTGCTGCACTGCAAGATTTATAAAACAAAATTTCTATACAAAAATTCATTAAAAACAATTTCAAGCCATATACTTTTTCATGAAAAATTTATCTCAATCTTTAAAAACGACATATAAAAAACAAATTTAAACTCTTATATTTCTTAAAGATTTTTTTCCTAAAAAAAAGTATCAAACGACAGTAAAAGACATTTTAGTTTATAAACAAACTATTTTTATATAATTTTCTTTTATTTTTAAAGTAACATGACTTAAAAGGAATAAAAGAAACATAAATAATGTTGCTGCCAAAATCAAGAAGCTCCACAAACTGTTGAACTTAACTAACCTAGATGAACTGAAAACAAATAGTTGTCAGTTTTCATGTCCTGGCTATGGTCTATTATTTTTCTTTTTTTAATGCTACAAAAATAGTAAATGATGTTTATTTCAATGTTTACGAAATGAACAACAATCTTTTGCAAGCTTCATTTCTTTATTTCTACAAACTTACATACACATACATACATACATACATATGTATGTATGAATATTTTTGGAATGATTTCTATTGTTTATTGCATCATTTCATTTTTTATTTCACATCTTTTTTTTGTATTATTTACTTGTTGTTTATTTGCTCTTGTTATCTTAATTTAGTCTATACACAAACAAATTGTGTTTTAGGGTTTTTGTTACTTTTGTTCCCAAACTCTTAATACATCAAACTTTGTATATGTAACTATAAATATTTTTTTATCTATTTTTTCTTTCTCTTTTACAGGACGTCCACATCCCAATGTTACATGGTATTTGGATAATACGGTGATTGATGAATCATTTGAACATCGGCCGGACGGTAAGACTGTTAACCACTTGTCATATCCAAATATTGGGCGACAACATTTGAATGCCAGATTAGTTTGTATGGCCAGCAATACGAATTTAACACCACCAAACAGTAAAGTGGTCATACTGGATGTCAATTGTAAGTATCGATTTGTGGTATTTTTTATGTTTTATGATGTAACCAGATTCTACATCTAACTCTGTCTGTATTTTTTCGGTTTAAGAGGATGTAGGAATTTGGCAACCATTACATGCCTCTATTAGTTTAACTCAAATTTATTTTTTTATAAGACCATAAGTAAAATCTATTTCTATAGTAATGGACGTTAGTAAAATTTGTTATTGACAGATATTTTGATGCTGAAATGGTTAGTTAAATCAGGTAAATTTTTGTGGCAGTTATTTGAAAAAGTAAATTGTTTTTGTAGAAAACCAATTTTTTTTTTCAAAACAGACAAACATTTAAATTGGACAACAAGAAATGATTGACAATTACTAAATGTGGTACATACTTAGTAAACAAATTCAAAAGAACATATATTTACAAATATGAATAAAAACCTAATTTTATAAGAAATATTTGAAGTGAAAATAAATTTTCAAAATGTAAATAACGAGTGTAGAGTAATTCATCCAAAATTTAACTATTTTTTTAAATTAGAGCAACTTTAGGGTAACTATTCTCAAATCGCTTAGTTCAAAACATATAATACTTCCTATTTTCCCCCTCTAGAAGTGGGTACACATACATACATCCCACTTGCATCTCTCTAAGTAACCACAAAGCTCTTAAAGGAAATGGTCTAAGCTTTCTGTAGAGCAAAAAAAAAAAAAAAAAACAAAAACGTCAATTTTGACAAAATATTGAAAAATTATGTGCCAAATATTGAAAAAATCGTATTCTTGGCGACTATAAAGCCCTTAAAGGAAATTGTATAACCTTTCTTTTAAGAAACAAGGGGGTATTTTGGAAAAAATTATTTAATTAATAAAAAATATTTTAAAAATTAAAAAAATTAAAAAATATTTGGAAACAGTCAACAAAAATAGCTATTTAAACTCCTTTGGCAATTAAAAAAAGCCATGTATGACCAAAATGTCCAACTTGGACCCACTCTAACTCCGTTAGTTCTTGAGTTGGGTCACTTGGCACGAAATTGCCCATATATAAAAACGAGTAAAAAATTATAGTAAAGCGTAGCCGACCATATGATACCCTACACCAATTATGAGTATATCTAAAATCTGTATTATTTTTAATAATAAAGCATTTATGTTGAATTTTTCCTTAATTTCGATATATTTTGGATGAAAAAACAAGTAGGAAAGTATAGTAAGGCATGGCCGACTATGTGATATCCTACACCATGAGTATATTTTAAAAATTATTTTTCATAAAGAAACATTTATGTTGAATTTAATTCCGATGTATTTAAGTAATTTATTGATGAAAAACAACATTTCTAAAAGAGGCTTTATATGAGAGTTAGGGTAAAATATGGGCCGATCCTCAACAAATTGGGAGGAGGGATGTATTTTTATATAAAGGTTAGGGTCAAACGATGGCCGATCATTATAATAATCGGCATGGTCATTTATGTCTATATAAAACTTAGTTGTGCCAATTTTTGAAGAGATAGTAGTATATTTGACGTAGCTATGAGTTAAAACCCCAAATCGGAAGGTCAGGTGGTATGGGGGCTAGGTGAAATAATTGATCGATTACAACCATTTTCAATAGGCATCGTATGGTCCAAATTTTATCAAAATATCTTGAAAATTGTGACCTGTAGCTTGCGCACAAAGTTTACATTGACAGCCAGCCGGACAGAAGGACGGACATGTCTTATTCGACTCAGAAAGTGATTCTGAGTCTATTTACTTAAGGTGTATGTAGGACCAATATTTTTGTGCGTTACAAACATCACCACTATAGTGGTGTAGGGTATAATGATTTTCTGATGGCGGCTATATATGCGTGCTAGGGTCAATTATGAACGGATCGTAACAAAATTTGTTGGATGGATTTTTGTTACAAACATCAGCACAAATCCAATATACCCTCCCTACTAAAGTTGTGTAGGGTATAATAAAATCCTCCAAAATACCAGTTTTCAGCATTATGGAATTTTTTTCATTCTATGAATATTAAACATTTCATAACTTTTTCTCAATTTATAAAATTCTAAGAAAATTTTTTACACATATTCTAGAAAAGGCAAACTATATATTTTTATTTATAAAATGTGCTTAACGGTTGGGCAAAATGTCCATTTAAATGGTATATCATTTTATGCACTTCAAGTATTCATTGACCTTTATATTTTATTTTTAGTTGTTTGCTTTCAACGCCTATAAATAATTCGATTCTTTTTAAATAGCGTGACATTAAAGCTTCTTTCGAAAAGGTTTTGCAGCAACATGTATTATAAAGATCCATTCATTGTTAACTGCAGTGCGTGTTGATGTTAAAGTTTAAGTGTCACCATTGTAGGAGAAAACATTCGTGTTTAGATAAAATAGTTACTAACAATGGTAGTATTTATTTAAAATTTTATTGTGTAATTACTAAACTATCTTAATTTGGTTGTCTGCCATCTATGACTTAAATAGCTTAGACAAATGAAATACGATTAGAGAAGAACATAGACACAGCTATTACAGAAACGTTTATAAAATTGAACTCAATGGACACATGTTACACCAAATGAAATATTAAAGTTTTTAAAATCATTTTATTACTACTGCTTTAAAACAACTCATTATTAAATAATTATAAACTTAAATTTCATTTAACAAATATGTTGTCTTCCTAAATTAAATAAAATTATCTCCCTTTTTTAAATACTTTAATAAACATGGTTAATACTAATTTCCCTTTCGTTTTTTTTATTATTACAGTAAAACCAATTGCAGTTCATATAATGACCAAGGATAGATTTGTATCAGCTGATCGCACTTATGATATTGAATGCAAATCATCTGGTTCAAAACCACAAGCCGTTATATCCTGGTGGAAGGGTAATAAACAACTGAAAAAACTAACAAAAAATGTAAGTCAACGTCACATTTTATAAACATGACATTAAAAAGGCCATACAACTATAAAAATACATACTATACAAAAAAATATAAAGAAAAAAGTTTTTTCTGTTCCATATGTATGAAGTGCAACAACAAATTTTATAAAATCGATATGACCCACATTTACACATACAAAATACTAAATACAAGTGACACATGAATTCCGTATATACTAGACTTACACACACTTACAAAAATACTACCACATATAAATAATATTACTACCAACACCATGCTAACTATGCCAACTATATGACATGGTTTAAATGAAATATTTGTAACATTTCCGTCTACGTTTTTTTTAGCCAGATTTTTCTATAAAGACAGATTTGTAAAGGAATTTATTGAAATTAATAAATTAAAAATTAAATTTATACGTCTAATAAATTCAAATTTTATAGTAATAATTATTAATTGTGTATCTCTTTTTGATAGAAGAGTTCATCTTAAAACAAGCAAGAGTCTTATATTCATTAAGCAAGGGTAACTCTTCATGTGCTCATTTATGAGATTTATGCTGAATGTATTGTAATATATATCAATACCCAGCAGTTCGGTCGGACAGTCCCGAACTACCTATTTAACCCACCTCTTAAGTTACGGATGATTGACTTTGTCCTACGAGAAAGTAAATCGTTACCCCATAGATTTCGAAGAGACAGACAGACTCTTTCGCTTACAAAAGGGACACTAAAGTGACGATTATCTTCACCCTCGTTTACAAAGAGTACATCCGTGCCGAAAGACGAATTAGAACCAACCAGGTGGTTAAACCTTTGTGGAAATCACTGTCTTTTTCAGATGCATTGACTATTTGTCGAACTGCTGGGTATTAATATGAACATGAAGATGATGTTCGATAAAGTGTCTTTATGGAGTCCTGTATCAGTTGAGGACCAACCTTCAGGAATTTAAAAGTGATTAATTTCTTAGAATAATTAAAGTCTATCGACAATAAGCTGTATTTCTGCCATATGGGCAATAGCATCAATTATAGACCGATGTAGTAGACAAAATTCGGTTCTCATGAGAATTGTGGGACATTTGTTTGGGCCGAAATCATGGATCTATGCTATGGTTCAAAGGATAAAAAGGTAAATTTTTATGGTTTTTACAATTTGCCATGTTTCACGCAAAGGAATTATATGAAATTTGAGTATAATGTAAATGGTCTTTGAGAGGAGCTGTGGATAGTGTATGATCAATTGAATGACAATTTTATACTTTTGTAATCGCACATTAATGTTTGAAATGCCATTGAAAGTACCTTTCGAAGACCTTTCATATGTAACTAAAATTTTGTACATTTCCTTTGTAAGAAATATAGAAAAAATTATATAAACCTCAAAAAAGGGAATTTTTATCCTTTGATCACGGAGGGACCATTAGAAACTTTCATTTATATTCATAGTACATACTTTCTGCACATTTTACTGACAACGTTGTAAGATCTGACAAACCTGTATCAGAGCTTTTACCTTAAATTCAATCACGTAACGATGTTAATCAACTAACTCCTTTAAAAATCTGCTTTTCAAATGTTTTTGCTCTCCACTTTTTTAAACATTTTATATTGTTAAATACATAGTTGTTAATATTAAAGTACTTTTTTCTCTTTCTTGTTAAAGGCAGTTTAATTATATGGCATCATGAACATTTCTATTGGACTTTATATCGAAATTTTTACTTAACACATTATCGTCTTTAAACAAAAATTTCAATTTTTTTTTTTACTTTATATACTTACAGTTTAATGAACCCGACAATCAATCTTTGAGTATATTAACATTCACGCCTACTCGTGAAGATGATGGTAAATATTTGACATGTCGAGCGGAAAATCAATTTATTGAGGGCAGTGCTATCGAGGATAAGTGGCGTCTGGTGGTACACTGTAAGTAAAAAACAAATTATAATATAGACCAATAAAAACAAAAACAAATAATATAAAATGAAGTAAAGTAAAGTAAGAAAAAATATACTGAAAATTATATAGAAAAGACATTTTACTTAATTTATATTGCAGAGTAGACCACATAAGTCGGTTAAACGTTGTAGAAGCATATAAATTAACATAAATAAATTTACACTTTAGGAAGGGCTCAGTCTTCCCAGTCTTTTTTTCTCTATAAACAAAGATTTTTTTGGTTGGTTTTCGAGGCTCTAGAGAGAGTTGTTGGTCTTTGGGTGTATGTTCATCACAGTATGTAAAAACTAAACTAACAAGTAAAAGATACAGAAATGTGGTAATGGCTGGTGGAACAGAGAGCTAGCTGTTGTATGTATGTGGTGGATGGTAGAAGAATAAAAATTACAAAGAACTAAAAAAAAATATCAAGCAGTCACGCTATTTGAGGTTAAATGTTTGTAGTTGTTATTTAGTTGACAATGGCCTGGGCCCATATTCAATTTAATTCAATTGCAAAGCTTTTGTAAATGCCTTTAATGATATTGTTTTTGCAATTTCAGAACTGTTCTGTTCATTTTTTTCCACTATTTGCTGCTGTTATCCTGTTGTGTGGTGACTTAACTAGAGTTTCTTTTTATGTATGAGAGTGTGTGTATGTATGTGTGTTAGAATGGCTATGAATGTGAACTGTGATTAGAAATGAAATTGGCCAAGTTTCTAATAAAAGTAAATTACATAGAATGTTTTTTCCTACTGCTTCTTTGTATGGTTTTCCATGTATTTTGTTGAGAAGACCCATTGTTTTTTAGAACATGAATGTAAATGCTTTCGTTGTTATTGTTTTTGTATAAAAAAATTAACAAAACTAAAAATTGGAACATTTGCTTCGGAGTAGTCCAACCAAAATTAAAGAGTATTTAATGCTGAGAGGATTAAAATTTTAATTTTACTAAGTGTTTGTAAAAGTGAGGTTTCCTTTCGAAACGTTAACGTTATCTTTTTCATGAAATAGATTTGAATTTGTATTCTGGCAACAACCAGCCACATACTAATGCCTTTTTCGCCTAATAAGTTTTTTTGCAGTTGTTGTTAAATGGTAAGCTGTATTTTTCCAAATGGAGACATGGTTCAGAGACATCCCTTGAAATTTGTATCTCCTGTTTCCCATTCAATATATGCACCATATCTTTTATGAGGGCTTTCATTATTGCTTATTAAATTCTAAGAGGTTCAGGCCATGTCCGTCCGTCCGTCTGTCTGTCTGTCTGTCTGTCTGTCTGACTGTCTGTCTATCTGTCTGTCCGTCTGTTGAAATCACAATAGGGACCACACCGGAGGAGCTGGACGGTTGAAGTTTTGCATAAATATTCTTTATTAATAAGGTTTATGCGGTATTTCAAATGGGCAATATCGGTCCACGTTTTCGGATATCCCCCATACAAGTGGTCCCTCCAGCGGCTTTAGCGGATATAACTGTTTTAGAAGTACGAGTATAACAATTAAATTCGGCATGAGTAAGTTACTTACGAGCTAAAATCTCTTTACATATTTTTTGGAGGATCGGCCCCTTTAGAAAATTATTTTAACGCTAATTACCTATTGGTATAAAAATGCGAGTACAGAGATGGTATTCGATGTAAACATGTTTATATGAATCAAAATCTGTGTAAATCACTTTATGAAAGGCGGTCAGTTAATTTGATGAGTGCTACTGATGTTTATAGGAGAGTGTTCCTTTTACGGCATACGGTTTGATAGTGATAGCCCACATCTCAAGAGTTTATTATAAAATGCGTATTACTTTCAATATTTTTTTGTAAAACACCATGAGAAATGTCCTAAAAAATATGAAATAGGTATATTTTTTCTAATTTTGAAAATTTATATAATGTTTGGACACTTCTGATATAAACGGCAATGTCTATAAACTCTATTTGTAATTTTTTTCTGCAGACATTTTTTTTCAATTTTTACAATCTATATAATATGTTTATACTATTATTGCTGTAAACATGGTTTGCTCTATAGCTGTTTTCATTTATACGATGTTTTATTCTATTTTTCCATAATAAAACAACAATTGAAATTACCATTAAATACATTAGAATTGTATATGTACGTATTTATATGTTTACTTTATGTGTGTACATAAATGTATGAAGGTACATTATTGTTAGATTGTACTGGACAGAACAAAACAAAATTTAGCAACAACTACTTGTTAATTTTGGTGTTGAAATGTTCCTGTTAACTGTGTCTAATATTAAATGATTCTAGTGTGCGAGTTACATGTCTAAAGCTGTTTTGTTTTATATTTATTTTAAACAAATTCAGGCAATATTTGGTCCTGTGTTGACAATTTATTTTAATGTCACCTTGTTTTTGTGTTTGTGTGCATATTTACAATATAGTTTTATAAATGTTATACAAAAATATCTAAGTACTTAAATATATTAAATAACCCAGTAAGCATTTTCAACAAATAAATAAGCTACTTAGAAAAATTTTACAATTCTTATTTGTTATTATTTTTTCAATAAATTAGTTTGTTTTATTAAATCAAAATAAAAATATTTTAATCTACAAATAGTTTCCATTCCAGAAATTATATTTATTGGGTTACAAAAAATTGCATGCGTTTCAACTAGGTTTTTAAATGTGCATATATTTAATTAAAAAAAAAACTAATTTTACATTGTGGCTGTGTATCATTTAACGCCATTTACATTTATAAAATCTAGCCTTCCTGCTGTTTTAAATTGTTTTAGGAACACTCATACGTATGAGTGTGTTATAAATTAAAGTGACTTTTTTCTCTATTGGTTTCTGTGGGCTAATAATATTGAAATATTTATGTACTGGTTACTATTTACAAGCTAAATCCCAACACTCCGCTACCACACATACAGACTCACCCCCTCCTTCCCCCTCAAGTGACAAATTGCACAATTTTCAAGGGATGAAGTTCAATCAACTTCAAATGTATGTTTGTGAAATGGAAGGCTTTTATAGTTTTTGGTTATTTGGTTTTCTAAACAATATAACATTTATTTTAATTAAATATAACCTTCTTTTTTCGTTTTGTGTGTGTGTGTGTTAAAGAATTTTTTTTTTATCAAATACACCAAACTTATGGGGTTAAATGTTGCGGTGTGTTTGAAATTGGTTTGTTTTCGGGCAATGAGACATTATTAGGGGGAAAAATAAAATAAATTATTATTTTTTTGTGGTGACCATAGGATTATAATCAGGAGGTGTTTTTAACTGTTGTTGTTGAAATTTATTATGTGTTTGTAAAAGAGAACAAATTAATACGAAGGTCTCTGTATTTGCTCAGTTCAGGGTAGATAAAAATTTAAAGTACTTAAAACACTTAACTATCAGTACTATAAAAAGGAAGACAGTGATTTAATATAAATGAAAATTTATCGATTAATTTTTCAGTTTTTTTTTCTGTTTTTTCGTCCGTCCGTCCGTCTGTGTGTCCATGTAAACAATTCACAATTTTCAAGATAATTTAATGAAATTTTGTTCATACTTTTCTATTGGCCTATGGAGGAAACCTGTTGAAAATATAATGACTAATTTGCAAGAAATATATTAAAAAATACATTCCTATGGAATTAAGCAAACATACCTTAATCAAACAATCCTGTATATGGCATCGCATTATACAGTTCCTATTATAGTTTGTGATTGAAATTGTAACTATAAATACACCACTATAGTGGGGAGGATATTATGGTTTGTTCAGACTTTTGTAACACCCATAAATATTGGTCCTACCCTCACCTTAAATCGGCTCAGGATCATTTTCTATGTCGATTAAGCTATGTCCGTCTCTTTGTCTGTCTACCTGTCTGTTTGTCTGTCCATCCGTCTGTGTGTTCGTGTAAATAATTCAAGATAATTTTATGAAATTTTGCTCATACTTTCCTATTGGCCTATGGAGGAAACCTATTGAAAATATAATGATTAATTTGCAAAAAATAAACTCTGAAGATACACTAAATTAAAAGTAAATCCTTTAATAATTTATGTTATTAAAGAGCATATAAGTTTTTGTTCTTCAATTTTAGATCTTAATTTGTTCTCCTATTTAAATTAAAATTTTAAATTTCATTATATCAACATTTTAACAACACACTTTAAAGTTTATTCACCTGATGTTTATGTTGGCATTTTCTAAAACTTTTTAAATAATTCATTATTTTCATCAAAATTTACTGATGCTTAAAAATCAAACATGTTGCTGCAATTTTTTAGTGTCAACCCTTTTTTCACATCATCTGCTGTATTCGTTACGATTTTTACGATCCAAACCAACTAAACTACATTGTTAAAGTAATCAAACAAACATACTGGCGAAAAAAACAAAAAAACTAAACGAAAAAATTTGTAAACAAAATGACACAAATACATATTACGAGTACATATAACATTGTTACTCACCTGAGAATCATTTACATTTTAACGTATTAAAACTTGAGCACACCTTCACTCATACTCAATCCAATACTCAACACTACTACACGTACACAAATGCAAACAATCAAACATTGTTACATTGAACTGAGATAACGAGCAGAGTTTTAAAACAGTTCTGTCTAAAAAAGTTCCATTTACAAAAAATTCAGAAAATTTTGCAACTATAATCAAAATCATTTATTAAAATTGTAAAAATATATTTTTCATTTAATAAAATAAACGTATATTCAGAAAACTATTACTTATGCTTAAAGAATCTAAAAATAATTTTTTTCTGTGTATATAGTGAACAATTGTTCTCAACAAAAATGATTTTTTGGTTTTAGAGACCTGCTCTTAGCAAACAACTGAATTGCAAAGTTTACTGTTAGTTAGTTAATATTACTGTAACAATACCCAGAGTCCATAAAGTAAACATTGGCCCAATTACGAAGCACTTCCACTAGTTGTATATATTACACATATATATTTTTCCTCTTTTTTTTTTGGAAACCGGC